AAAAAAAAAAAAAAAAAAAAAATATATATATAAAAGAAAAATGTCGTTTGCCCAAATATGAATGGATAAATATATTGATGGTTTAAAAAATAGTAGCACATATACTACGTATCGCTCATACGGATATTAAACATATTGCAATGTTCAAAAATGCTAAAGTATTATAGCAAATTCTGATTGGTTTACCCTTGTACATCCGCTTTCCTAGGGGAGGGGAAGGTACAGAATTTGTTGAAGTTTATAAAGTATGAGAGCTAAAATTATCATTTATTGAGAAAAGGTATTTATAATATATTTTTTTATAATTACTGCCGTTGTAACTTGGCAATCTCGCAAAGTGCATTGTTCTATATCTTTCTCTCTGTACATGTAAACGGGATTATGTATTCGTAATTAGAGTTTCGGTCGTGATACTCACAAGAAACCACAAGACTACGTGACACAATGATTATTCCAGGAATTAAAAGATGAAGAGAAAGCTGCGAATGAAACTTATTAGCACCTTTTTTTTTTTACATTTTCGTAACAGGCTCGTTCTTGATGATGAAGGTAATGCTACTTTAGCTAAACATTTTGGGCGTTCTGGTCGTATTTGATAATTAACCTGCAACTTTGAAAGTGTGAAGTGAAATCAGTACGATGACGTTGAAAGTGCTTTTGCACTTGATTTTGTGATTGTTCTGTCTGGTGTCTTGGTTAATATTTGACCTAGGGTTTCCTTTAGCGTGTCACCACACTTTAAATTAATCGCACGATTACACGCCACATACATATCATAAATATCAGTAGTTACTTATTAACAGCCCTCACATATTTCGATATATATCTTTATACATATCCGCGAGATGTTTTAGGGATATCGTGATTATTATTTGAGATATCGTGCAAAAATCTTTTTCCTTTTTTATCTCTATAACTGCCTATAAATATATTTATTAAATCCAGTTTGCGAATTGTTTCGTTTTGTACATGTTTGTCTTTTACGTTAAATTAACATTGATACACAGCTATTTTTATCACTTGTTTACAAAGTGATTAAAGATCTTATATATTTATATTTAAATGTTACATTTATACTAGACCTATGTTACATTTTTCTCTCTCTCAATTATTAAGGGTGAGGTATTCTCTTTCTTTTCAATTTTTGCTATTGTACAAATAAAGAGGAACCTTTTTTTGAACGAATCAATTATCTGATTGTTTTGCTCCTTTTTTTAGGACGGTTTTGCACCACCCGAGGAATTGGAAGGTGACGGACTCGCACCCGACGACGAGGAGGAATATTAACTTTTTTTATTTACGGATGTAATCGAAAAGAACAACAGCAAATTATCCAAGTGCGTTTCAGTTTATCATGTCTGTATAAGCCAGTGCCGGTACCCCTGCATAATTATTAAGCTACTTTATATAGCAAATTCATCAGGTAGAGCAGACTGTGCGTTCGTTCAGTTGATGAAATTCACCGAGATCATTAAGATTCGCACGGCATTAGAATAGAAATAAGTCGTGTAGTGCACTTGAATAACTTGTTCTTTATGGTCGTTGACGAAAGAGAGAGAGGGAGAGAGAGAGAGGGAGCAGGGAAGAGAAGGGGAGAGGGAGGAGAAAGAATAAGGAAAGAAGGAAATCGATTAGTAATCTTTTACAAGTTATTACAATTCTTTATAGTGTTACAAACGATAGAGTTCCGAAGACCAATGGCTCTCGAGTTGTCGCAAATTCGTGGATACCGATATCTATTAAAGTTATCCGCATCCATATTGTTACGCAACAGCGATTTACGTTACACATCTTTTTTTAATGCGTGAGTGTTTTGTTTGTAAATGTATTAAGTTTGTCGAGTCAACTCGAAACTCCCGTCAATCAGTTTTGCCTTCTAAGAGCTATTCGTAGCTTCTATCTGAAATGATATACCCGCTGAGACAGAGCTGCTCGATCTGTTCAAGTCGTTATCTACGTGCAATGTAAGTAGCCGCGCGCAGCGCGCACTCGATGATTCTTGCGCGAAATAGTAGATTCTCCTGTCAGCGAAACAATTCATGTGCCGTCTATCATGTTAGTAATTAAAATTCAATTCCGCTTATTGACATTCTAATCTGTGTCTCATCGCGGAAAAAAAAGAAGAAAAAAAAGAGAAAATAAACATGCTGCATAATACATCCGTAGGGATACGAACACCCGAGCATACTCTAATTTTGGCAAATTAGACAGTGTGCGCTTCGTGAGAGCATATTGTGAGACAGAATGGTACGCTTATGCATCGATCACTGAATTGTAAGATTATGTGAAAGACTAATTAAAGTTAGAACTCGATGTATCGAAAGATCCGTTTATATTGACATGTTTATCCCGTACAAATCGATTCTAGACAAGGAACGCTCGCATCTCGACGATAGTCTCGCGAATAAGAATGGCCTTAAATCTATGAGAATTGAATTTGAATTTGAGACTTTGGAGAACGTACTCTGAATTGAGTGCGAGTGAGCGCGAAGCGTTTCTTCAATTTATTTCGGGGAAGAAAGTAACGACAACTACGTGACTATATTCCTTAAGACACCTGGCTACTCTCCGCGGAATTCTCGATCGATAACGTCGGAAGCGAGGATGACAATGCATACCCAAAATTTTCTTATGACGTACGTCAAAATAAAGAGATATATCCAAAGGATCGCAATCGATTAAGCACAATTCTAAAGTCGACACTTTTGCTCTAACAATCAATAAGTAATTGTAAAATTAACGTAACAAAATAATGAGGAAATGAAAGTTCACAAGGAAAGTTGCACATCACGTTAATTTTATGATTATTAACTGTTGAAGCAAAAGTCCATAGTATTTTAGAGATACGCTCAATCGATTGTAAGTATAATTTTTTAAATATATTTCTTTATATCTTTTTACTTCGATATACTTTGTAGAAATTTTGGGTATATATGCATTTCCTCGCTTCTGACGTTATCAATCGAAGCAGTTCCGCAGCGAGTAGCCAGGAGCCTAAAGCCACTTTGATAAGGGGAAACGAAAAGAAGAAAAAAAAATTGTAAAATTGTACGTTTCAAGAGAGCGGACGAGTGAAAGACAACGAGCGAAAGGATTTACGACATGTAGACGTCCTGTGAGCGCTTATGTGTGGCGTGTGTATGTGTGTATGCGTGTATGTATGTGTGTGTATGTGTTGTGTGTGAGTTCGCACGCATGTGCTTTTAGTTACCGGTCTCGACGATACGAAATGAGGCCGATTATCGATCGTAGGCACATAAAAATCAGATTAATACTAAGCGAAAAGAGCGTGGATAATCGTGAGTAATCGTTTGGCTAGAATGTAATTTGCACTACGTACGCGACTCTACTAAGTTTCCGGCAAAGTGGGACACAGTTTGGCTTGCGCTCCGTTCGTCGCTCTGTACGCGCGCATATGTGCTTCGAAATTTGAAATTTTAATGCCGATGTAATAAATGTTTAATAAAATCCACCTGAACGCAAATCGCGTCAGATTTTATGAAGAAAAAAACAAAAAAAAAACTTGCGCGACTACGATATTTCGCTCAATCAGCGTTGTTAATTATTCCGATTTCTCGTCGACTGAATGTATCAAGGAAATGTTCAATGGAATCGATAGAAATGAATCTTGATGAGATGCGATGAGACTGCGTGAGAAGCTACTTGATGTATTATTGTAAGTGATGCGCTTTAGCGAGTATAAAGTAGAAACGCTAAAGAAGATGGCCGTGAACGTGTCAGCTTGCCGTTAACTAAGGCGAGAGATATGCTCTGGCCAAAGGTCCGTGACGCGCGTAAGCTTCTGCTCTCGCACAGAGTTCGGCATATTCCAGTCGTGAGAGTCGCGGCTCTGTGTTCGCGCGTGTGTCTTTTTCAGTCTCATCGAAAAGGAGAGAGAGCTAGCATATCCGCACCGTTGAAGCGAAGGCGAAGGACGTTATTCCAGGACGTTAGCAAGATCACACGGCTGCAATAATCGACGCGAGAATCACTATCGATTGTTGCGTCTTTGACGAGGTAACATGACGTTATGAGTTCATCGAGAGAGAGAGAGAGAGAGAGAGAGAGAGAGAATTTAATCGAAAAAGTATATTGGATAAATCGTGTCTAAAAATGGCTTTATAGCGTTGAAAATATTTCGCTCGAATAATGATCAAACGAGCTCATTATTGTCGACGCATTCTCGAGGGAGAATAAACTCAATTTCATTAATGTATTCAATATATATTAGCATTTGAACGAATGATACTGCCAACTTTCACGTACTGATCGCATTGTTTGTTGAAATTGTATTTGGGAACGCGAGAAAGTTCGTAGAGGATAACATAGCGCAAGACACTACCGTGTCTTTTGACAAGTGTTATAACGGCATCGAGATTAGCTGGAGATTTGTATATTGACCAGTTTGCGATGCTATATGTCAAATTTGTGTCCTTTGCGACATAAACATAGTAAATGCTTGTTAATGTCGTCAGAGTTTCCAGTTCTCATATGTTAGTATATAATGGTGTCTCGAGACGGGCATACGGTGAGTTAGATCCAGTAACGGCAAAGAGGAACAAAATTTGCATTCATCACTAATTCTTCAACTTGCTCTTTCGTCAATTTATTAATCGTTATTATCGCGTATAATCGTATTTACCAGCAATTGTTTCGTCACATACTGTCGATTACTAAATAATATAGCTGCAAACGCGATAAGGTATTTCCAGGAGAAGTGTATAATTTATAACGATCCAAAAATTGACGTGAATTTTTTTTCGGAAACAATTAAAATTATTTTGTTCATCTTGATTAAATCACAAGTATACACACGAATTCAAAAGGGGCTAATGAAATTTCTCTTTTCCTTTTTTTTCTCCGTTTTCTTTTTTCTTTCATACAATCAGTACGAAGCAGATTTGACGGTCAACAGGAGCTACCACACAAATAAAACGAAAACATGATAAAAAGCCAAAGACAAACATCGTGGCCGACGAAGTATAACGGATAACGAAGTGACACGATGCGAATGAGTGGATAAGATCGCGTAAACGGCATTTGCCAGACAGCATACAGACGCGACAGATCTTCATTATCGTGTAGCGCGTCTTGTCTCGTCTTGTGCTAAAGGTGCCGCTGTCTAGGACTTCGCTATTTAATCACAGACACTCGAAACTCGTGAGAATACAGATGGATAAATGTTGCGATATCGGTGTCCCATATCGGTACGATCGAACGAAAGTAATTAATTCTCAGCGAATATGAATTATCGTTTCATTCTTGTCGCTTTTCGTGCGAGAAATTAGAATTCCAGGTAAAAGGAAATATGTGCGCATAAATTGTGTTTTTTATACCGCAAAAGAAATTGCTCTGCAGTATATCGTTAGTATCGCTCGGTCTGACCTATATGAGGAAAGCTACATTAAATTGTCTTTATCGACTAAGTTACATGAACTTTGCATGCTGGGAAAGTGTCACTGATAAAGCAGTCTAAAGAAAAAGCTGCTTAATCAGTGAATTATTCTTACCAATCGTATACACGCAGATTGCGAGCTTTGCAGATTGTAAAGTGCACAAATACTGCAAAAATTGTTCTCGCAACTGAGGAAAGCGCTATTTGTTTTTATATAACATTTGGGTAGATTAAGCGCGCGACGCGCATCAGTGATACCATATCACTGAGTTGCTTTCACGTCTACGATATATTTCACATCTGTTTATATGAATACAAAAGACACAGTTGAATAAATTAATAAACGCCATCGAAACGTCACGTGGGAACTTTTTCGGAACGCGTTAGATATGTCTACTTATTTTAGCTGCGTTCCAAAATTCACTGCTGAAATTCTATAGTATACGTAACATGAACTATGGATTTTCAGTACTGACAGTGAATTTCGGAACGCAGCCTTTGTAAAGACTAAAAGAATGCTAGTAGTTTTAATTATTCCCTATTTAGTAAATTCAGTTTGTCTTCATATCGATAAAGAAATATTTATGAATATTAATTATTTCACTCCTTTTGTCAAAAAGGAAATTTTTATCCCATGTGTTGACGCTGACGTTATACCGACTCGGGACTGGTGGAATTCTAGTGTATTGATTGTGACATAAAAATTCGATTTTGCGTTTTGACTATTGCGGTAAAATTTGAAGAGAGATTTAGCATTGAGATTAATTACGGTACTACTCATCATTGCCCAGATTTGCACGTCAATTTCTTATGAATCGCCGATAAAACGTGCATGTATGGATACTCGCCTGGTAAATGCCTCGATTAATGCATCTTCGTGATACGCAGCTCACGTAGCGATATCTTTCAGTCAGACGCTAAATCCGTCTGTCAGCGGTCGCGTATATTGTGTTTCACATTGGTGAGAATAACGCCGTTATATATAGAAGTTTTTATGCGGTATTCCGCTTGATAAGGCGAGGTCGCGGCTTTTGATAATACTTTATCGTTAATTTCACTTTCTTTATTATTTATTAACAATCGAGTCATTAAGATTTAATGGTGGCCAATTTTATTCATACCTTTCTCTCTCTCTCTCTCTCTCTCTCTATATATATATATATATGTATGTATGTGTATATATGTATGTATGTATATATATATATATATATATGTGTGTGTGTGTGTGTGTATATATATATGTGTGTGTGTGTGTATATTCTTTTAGACACCGATTTATTTCCAGCACAAAATTGTATACAGCATATAACGATGACCACGGCGAAGCGAATAGTTTCGTCTGTCGAGGTAAGGCTCCAAAATTAATACACATAAAGGAAATTATATATTACATTTAAATAAATATTATTTGCTTCAACATAAATTTGTTTATTCGGAAATCTATCACATAAGCATCTCTCTCTCAAATTTATTCAAAATCTATTCTAAATTCTAGCACCTTTAGCATTTTAGTAAAAAAAAAATTAAAAACAAAATTCGATTTGCTTATTACATAAACTCGAGCCAACTTTTTCTTCGATAAAGCTTTATAATATTCTTGTAAAAAGAATATAATTTTTTAGTATATAATCATAAACTTTTCTAAAGCTTGTGAATGTATTTTGAGAGTGTATATTATCAAGAAAATATATTCTCTACTGAAAATAATCACTACTTAAAGAAAGAAAGTAACTCGAGCAGTCGTTTTACTTAGCAGTAGAACGATATCTTTTTATATGCGCACGTATATGTGTGAGGCGACGCGAAAGGCAGGTAATCATTTCAATAAACGTCTATTTGTTTGCTAGCCAACATCACCGGAAACCAATGCGGGATGGATGCGATCGGCAGTGGACAGAGTAGCACGAACTTGGGTCTTTCAGGTTATCCTGCGACAGTTGGACACCTTTCTGTGGATTGTAGAGAAATCCGCGGAATGGAGTCTACCTCGAAATGAAGGTGCTCTTTCTATATAAATCATGTCGAGTCACAAATAATTTTTCGATAAAGACAACATCCGTTTGTCTCAAATATTCATGAAAGAAACGAATTTTGCGCAAAATCTTAAATAGAATTTCGTCCAAAGTCGTCTAGCAATACAATGCGCCCGTTGTACTTGAAAGTAGTTAATAATGAAATTCGCAAATCGATACTCCAGCCGAAACCGAGGAATCTATGAAGACGGATCTCGTGAGACCACTACCGTGGATGTTATTCTTGCCAATGTTGCTGTTTTTACGTATGATACGAACGAGTCTAAATATGGTTGCTTTGATGCTGGGTCTGCCTCGAGTATCGTCTACCTCAATGGTACGTAAACGCTTTTCTCAATTTCACAGATGATCAAATTGCAAAGAAATAACGAGGATCGTTCAACTCTCTTTCTCTCCCTCTCTCCATGGTAGTATTTCGTTTGTTCGCGTTTGTCATCCTCTAAATCTCCCTTCGACAGGTGAGATTCGCGCAGAAGAGCCGCTATCGTTTGGCAAACATCGGTAATACGAGCAGATCGTCCGAGAAAATGAGATTCAAGCGAGACACCCAGGTAAGGCACGCGCGCGTAGCCAACTGTCCGTAAGCAGTCATGTACGTGGTTACGTACGTAAACTTGTACCGTAATGGTATGAGCCGTAATTGCACAGCAACATTTTGCTACTCTAAGAGAGATAATCAAATTAGCACGATAAAAGTCTCGGTGGTGGGTGTAGGACAAGAGTTTGTCGATGAACCAGGCCAAGAAGGCCCTGATCAGATCCATTCGCCTGACCTTGTCGACTCTATCCTGCCTGGACGGATCCAAACCCTCCCTGTCACCACCGCCCACCAGAATTCATATTAGTGCCCTCGATCTGGATGCAGTAAGTAAAACGAATCGTCGCTCACGCGACATGAATACCGCTCGCGTTTTTAAGACCACTCGAACCCCTCAACCCACGACAAGATGTCGTATATTTCTGGATATTTCTCTACTTTAGTACAGTACTTTTGGGTCGATATCTTCGGCTATTTTTTGTGTATCGTTAAGAACAGCGAACACGAGACGAATCAATCGTGAGACAAATTGGCGAGAGATAGAATCGAGCGTTTGATGAAATAACAAACTGTCTTCCAAAGGCGACGAGATCGACCAAGCCTACTCTCGAGGAAAAACAGAGGCAAGAGGTCAAATCCGACGTTTCGACCGAGACCAAACTGGGAAGAAACGATCAACTCGTGCCGGAGCTGTGCAACTCTCACGATGTCAATATAACCGATGTGAGTGCAGACTGGCGAAGAATGCCGGAATACGTCAAGTATCGTGCATTAAAAATCACGGTAAATAACAAACCACGCGAACAAGTTTCGACGCGCGACAGGTGCGCGCATACGTAATACAAATCATAATTTTCTCTCCGTAATTATGTTCGTTTAATAATAATTTAACGGCCGATTCTCAACGACCAGTATAATATATATATATATATATATATCCGACAGCTAGGAGGTAAAATAGTCGAATAAGGTATACGTAAAATCGTTGAGGACTCGCGGTGAAAAGTATACGTCTCAAGATCGCTGTTCAAAAGAGAGAAATACACGATACTGCCGTATACGAAAGATCAATCGGGAGAGAGCGCGGTCGTGTTCTCTCAACGCGATCAATACACAAATGTGCAACGCTTCGTCTGTTTCACGAATATAGAAAGCGATCGAGAGGACAGAGGAGAAGAGGAGCTGCGAGGAGAAGAGCTATGACGGACGAAATAAAAACGAGGAAACGACGGAGGAGAGCAATGTGGAAGAGGACGAGAGCGATAAGGAGGAGGAGGTAGATATAGAGGTGGAAGAGGAGGAGGAGTACGAGGAGGAGGAGGAGGA